TGTGGTAATTCAATGTTCTGCCGACTGGATTTCACTCAAAACACACCAAATGACTCCTCCCACCATATTATGATGTTGCCCTAGTTTTGGGCTCGATCCGAAATCAATAGGTGTGAGAAATTGGACAATTCAAGTTCACCGGCAGTTCGTTCCTAATTGGAGTGGTTGGTGTATTCCATACTTCTAGCGATTGGATTTCTCTCAAAACTCCCCAAATGACTCCTCCCACCACATTATGATGTTGCCCAAGTTTTGGGCTCGATCCGAAATCAATAGGTGTAAGAAATTGGACAATCGAAGTTCAACGGCCGTTCGTTCCTAATTGGAGTGGTTGGTGTATTCCATACTTCTAGCGACTGGATTTCACTCAAAACTTACCAAATGACCCATATTATGATGTTGCCCAAGTTTTGGGCTCGATCCGAAATCAATAGGTGTAAGAAATTGGACAATTTAAGTTCAACGGCCGTTCGTTCCTAATTGGTGTGGTTGGTGTATTCCATACTTCTAGCGAATGGGTTTCACTCAAAACTCACCAAATGACTCCTCCCACCATATTATGATGTTGCCCAGGTTTTGGGCTCGATCCGAAATCAATAGGTGTAAGAAATTGGAAAATTCAAGTTCAAAGGCAGTTCGTTCCACATTGGAGTGGTTGGGGTAATTGTTCTGGCGATTGGATTTCACTCAAAACACACCAAATGACTCCTCTCACCATATTATGATGTTGCCCAAGTTTTGGGCTCGATCCGAAACCAGTAGGTGTGAGAAATTGGACAATTTAAGTTCAACGGCAACTCGTTCCTAATTGGAGTGGTTGGTGTACTCCATACTTCTAACGGTTTGATTTCACTAAAAACTCACCAAATGACTCCTCCCACCATATTATGATGTTGCCCAAGTTTTGGGCTCGATCCGGAATCAATAGGTGTATGAAATTGGACAATTCAAGTTCAAAGGCAGTTCGTTCCTAATTGGAGTGGTTGGGGTAATTCATAGTTCTAGCGATTCGATTTCTCTCAAAACTCACCAAATGACTCCTCCCAACATATTATGATGTTGCCAAAGTTTTGGGCTCGATCCGAAATCAATAGGTGTAAGAAATTTGACAATTTAAGTTCAACGGCCGTTCGTTCCTAATTGGAGTGGTTGATGTATTCCATACTTCTAGCGATTGGATCTAGGTCAAAACTCACCAAATGACTCCTCCCGCCATATTATGATGTTCCCCAAGTTTTGGGCTCGATCCAAAATCAATAGGTGTAAGAAATTGGACAATTTAAGTTCAACGGCCGTTCGTTCCTAATTGGTGTGGTTGGTGTATTCCATACTTCTAGTGATTGAATTTCACTCAAAACACACCAAATGACTCCTCCCACCATATTATGCTGTTGCCCAAGTTTTGGGCTCGATCCGAAATCAATAGGTGTAAGAAATTGGACAACTCAAGTTCAAAGGCAGTTCGTTCCAAATTGGAGTGGTTGGGGTAATTCATAGTTCTCGCGATTGGAATTCACTCAAAACTCACCAAATGACTCCTCCC